GGTGCAGGACGTAAAGGTTATCCACCATGTATTGGCATCAAGTTGAGCTGATCAATATACCATGATATGACTTTAAGTTTCTGTATCGGTCTATTTTAGAGTCTATTTTGTTCAACACATTAAAAACTAACATGCAGCCACAATATTTTTGAGATACAGCTAATGACAACCAAACGCATCTGACGCTTTAAACGCACTTTCAATGCAAACGCCTGATAATTTTCTCTGCACTTCGCGTTTCTCCTGTCAGGTGCTTCTAGTTTACATTCAAAGTCTACGCAGAGGGGCGTCACACATGTCAAAATCGCTCTAGCCGTTGTTTTCCTTTGCCAGATGCATTGGACACTCCTGATGCATCAAAAGCTTCAATGTGCCTCCACAGACTTTGAAACAAGACGCACCTGACGCTCAAAACAAGTTTGGTGTGAACGCACCATAAGGCTACTGTGTTCTGACTGAGGTCACATCTGGGGAAAAATATCATTTTTATCCAACCTTAATTTGCTTTTCACCCAGCGTTTTGCTTTGTGAGCGGAGGATAAAACTCATATGACTAACACTTTGTTGTTCAGCTCAAACCAGACGACTTTATGTGTTGCTCACTCTGTAATTCCAGTCTAAACCTGCTGTCCTGAAAAAAGTAATACAGTTTGAGACTAAAGCCCTATACAGGATATGACTTTAGGGTCCCAGACTGAGAGGATCAGCTTCTCAATATACCCTCCTCAGGGGCAATTTATAAACCATGAGCATAGCAACCCCGGAGAAGGAAATTGGCATTAGATGGAAGGACAAAGTAAAAAAGCGCTTTGTGAGGCAGTTCCAGGAGAGGAACGACTGAGGAAAGTACAATTAAGGGGAGGAGAGGTGAACGATGGGAGAAATGTTGACCCGGTTCTCTGAGTCTGAGCTGTACAACAGGCTGGATGGTTGCGTCTTCTCAATGGAAATGGTCTCGGCACATTACAGGAAGCTTATATTGTTTCATACAAGTATTTCCCCTCATAATAAGAGAATGGTCAAGCATTGAGGAAAGCACAGGGGAGCAGGGATTTATTACGAGACAAATGGCTCCAAACTGTGAGAAAGTGCTAGCAAAACACCAACTAATAAATTGTGAGGGCCACAACACTCACTGTTATCAATCATCCGAGCGATTCTGCTTCCTGGCAGGTTCTTGGCTCCTGGAGGTCTAACCTCAGAGGAAGTTCTGATGTCCTGCTTCATTAAACACGACTGGCTGCTGAGAATCCGACATAAAATTTAGCCAGAGGTGGGCGACGTACCCAAAAATTATATTCAAGTAAAAGTATTACTTCAATACATCTCTCTTCAAGTAAAAGTAAAAAGTAGTCCTGCAGAAATTACTCAAAAGAGATAAAGTTCTTGGCAACAAAGCTACTAAAGAACTGAGCAACCGATCAAATCATAAAATTAGAAAGAAAAAAACGTAAACAGGATCTGATCTGAAGCTTCCCACTTTAATTCCTTTGGAACAATTAAAATTTATTTTAAGTCAAAAGGAGAAATCTTGTAAAATTTATTTTTTTAACTCATATTTAATTTAAGTAAAATTTCTTAGTCGCTTATTTTGTTGCTGGGTTGTTAATTTTGTTTGTTTTATCAAAATGAGTCTTTGTTGTATCACCGATCTTGGATTTCAATGAGACAACCTGCATAAATAAAAGTAAAATAACAAAAACTAAGTTATGTGAAAATATTGGTATTTTAAGGACCAAAATGAAAATAATTCATATAAAAAAAATTAAAACATAGCAAAATCAGGCAAAATAAATATTTTTCCAAATCAATTTATTTTGATATTAGATTTATGAAATTTTAACAAGAACTGCATGTGTGCGTCTGGTGAATTTTTGGTTAAAACAAGCTTGTTCATCACTCAGTGGACTTACAATATACACAGTATTTCATAATAAAGTTACTCAAGTAAAAGTAAAAAATACACTGTAGAAAAAATATTCCAAAAAGTTTGTTTTTTTTCTAAAAGGATACTTTGGGATGAAAATGAAACTTGTGCATGCTCAAGCTGCAGCCAAACAGGAGATAGGAGGAATAATCTGCACTCATTGGAGACATGGTGCCGTTTCTAAATGAAGATTTGTCAATTAAGCCTCTAGATTTCCTGTCGATAATGTCTTTCCAAGAAACTCACAATCACTATTAAGATTTAAAGATAAAGTCTGAGCTCAGTAAGAAAAACAGGACAAAAACATTTATCTGCAGGTACAGATAGCAGAAACAAAATGGCCTGCTAAATCCTCAGTGGCATGGGTTTCTGAGAAAAGATGCGAGCATTTCTTAGAAAGTTTTGTTTAACTTTTTATCTAATTGCTGCTTGGTGTGCAATAGGAAATGTCTGTTAGGGGAACATTTAGTGGAGGAAAAACTGATGGACAGATAAACTCACAGACAGATACTGCAGCACTTTTATTTGTGCTGCTATGGTTACACGTTTACAACAGAAGAAAACACATAAGTGGGGTGTAAAGACAAATGTCACGTCCGACTTCTAATCTAGACATGTGACCTGCTCCAAGTTGCCAAGCTCGGGTTTGTTTCCGGGACCGAGTGGTGACAGGAAACATGGGTTTGTTCATGTTTGGTGCCAGAGGAACACTTAAAAGGTCTAGGAAGGTTACACCATCAAACAACACAGTAGTCTTACTATAAAGTCATTTTCATCACAATGGAGATGGATTTCTGCTTTGATTTTTTTTAAATGACTCCCACAGGTAAAAATATATTTAAATGTCCATGTCTTTTGATATGTTCATAAATGTTTACCTTTAAAAAGACCATTACTTTCATGATCGACATGAGACGACCTTAAGAGCCTAGGTTATAAATGAGGGAGTTGAAAGCAGAAAGTGAGGAGAAACAAAGTGGTTAAACAGAGAACAGAGCAGCCGGTTGCCTACTTTGACGCCTGCAAGGCAGCCGACTCCAAGACCTGAATGAGATGCTGGTGGGAGGTCCGAGTACAAAGAGGAGGAGGACAGACAGGCTGGCAGTTAATACATGAAAAGATTAAAGATTAAAAACCTCAAGTTATGACGACATGTCTTTCAACAAGCTGTCCACAGTCGCCACATGCTTGATTAACAGAAGGGATTGTTGGAAAGCCAACAACTCGATCAAATTGATCTGGACTCCTTAGATTAAAACTTAACTGAATTTCACTTGGTACTTGAATCTGATTACATTTTATGATTGGGTTATAAATTGGAATGAATTGGATCCAGTCGTCCTTTGGAAAGAAATGACATTCGACATTATTTAGTGGTGTATGAATAAATCTGAACTAGGATGGGAGTCGATTCATAAAAGCGGCTGAAAAGGAAACTCAGAAGCAGCAAGACACAAGATTACGAATCAAAATGATTAATGATGGGTTACAGTTCCTCTCTGAGGCTCTTTATCAGCTGCTATTTGTTTGTTTTATCACTTTCTTGACCACACATAACGTAAACAGAAGAATGTTGAGCAATATTAAGCACCACCAACCTTGAAACTCATGACCGTTAAACATTTTGCAGCTACAATAAAGCAGAGAATCAGAAATGTTGACTATAAATTAATTTTTAAGTTATTTGTCTCATTTTGGGAAATATTTTATTCCTTTTTATAAAGATACTCTCAATCAAATAATGCAACCTCTTCTCATCATTTCTGCATAACTTACAGCTCTGGAAAACCTCCTGGTTATTCCACCAAATTTTGATTTCTGAACCATTCTCGATTTAAAACATTTGTGTTATTGTTTCTAAATGAACATAAACTTGTTTTCTTTGCATTTCTTGAGATCTAAAAGCGCTGCAACATGCTTTCTCATTTTCTGCAAAGAAATCCAAAATTTTTGCTTGGAATTTCAGACATGTCAATTCATTTTACTTAAACATATACCTATAAAAAGTAAAATTAGAGAAACTGATCATTTCAATTTTTCCAGGAAATATATTCTTGTAACTCCTATTTTCAGAAAGGAAAAATGCATTTAATTTTAATTAAAAGGATTTTGAGAAAAAAAAAAGAAACATGGATATGTTTGACTTGTTCCCAGTCCCAACTGGGGAAAAAGATAAAGAACAATATCTCAGACATTTTTTTTAATAAGAATAATTTATTTCTATAAAAATTTTATGTATTTAAAGCTTGAGATGGTTGAGGGATTGAATTTAATTGTTATACACCTCAGATATTAAGAGTTGATAACAACGCTAATAAGTAGGAATGAATAGATGAAGCAAATGTTTCTGTTGTTACTTGCTGGGTTAATTTATACAGATATATTGTATAAATGGGCTGGTCTGAGTGTTTGCTTTACTTATAAAAGCTGTAAGAAACCTAAAAAAAAACACAGACTCATGTTTGCAACCAAAACACCAACATTATTTGTGTGGAGGAAACAGGAAAGCCTGCGAACTTATAATGAATATGTGAGGTTATCATCTGAAAACACTCAATAAAATAAGGTGTTACTACGTCCTTCCCCCGTGGACAGCAGAAAGCCGAGGAGCAGGCAGGCAGACACCTGGGTCAGCTCCAACAGGAAGTATCTGGAGCAACTTAAAACTGGATATGTGTTGCATCCATGTTATATACAACAGTCCTGTTCCTTCTACAGTTTCCTCTCATTTATTGCCCCTCCCTGGACTTTTAAACAATCTGCTGGTGTCATGAAAAACACAGAAAGGTCATATATCACTGTAATTACACAGGGAAGCACTGCTGCTATTCAAAACAAACAGAAAAACGCCAGACACAGGAAGATTCCAGTACGCACGGATGAAAGATTTAGGTTTCACCCAAGTATTCTGTCATTAATTTGTTAATTTGGACCACATGTCAGGAATAAACCTTCCATCTGCAGGTGGAATAAAACAAATACATGGAATATCCTAAAGAAACGCAGCAATACTTTTACCTTCATGTCTCCTTCTGTGGAGAAATCAGCATTAACGACAAGACATGAAACTCACCCTTCTCTTCAGACGATCCCTCTCTCTCAGTGTGAGCGTGTCAGCCTTGGCGATTACTGGAACAATGTTGACTTTGCTGTGGATGGCCTTCATAAACTCCACATCCAGAGGCTTTAGACTGGGAGAGGGAAGAAACATGGAGATTAATCAGGAAGGAAATAACAAAACATAAAAATAGCAGACCCAAGAAAGAGGAACAGGACAGGAGAAAAACTGAAAACGAATAAAACAGAACTGAATGATTGGAGGAAGCTAAAGTTTGCTTTGCAAAATCTTTAAAAATAGAAAACATTTAGCCAGAAAAAACTAAAGAAACAAACACACGTCTTTGTCTTAACAGTTTTAAACAAAAAATTCTGCTTCTATTTACTTTAGTGGACTAAAGTAGTTATATAATCAAAATTTGTGACATATTTGCATTATTTTTACCCATGTCCAAATGGAGAAATGAAATAAAAGCAGCAGTGCACCCTGTTGTCCACTATGTGCCTCCGGTTCAGCCCACTCTCGTCATGTAGGTATCGCTCAAACTGATTGTCAATGTACTGGATGATGGTCTTGAAGCTGATGTCAGAAAAAAACACAGATACATACTCTTTAAAATATAGCTAAGCACTACAAAAAGGTAAAGGAAGCAAAACAGATATATATGGATGACATATTGAACTCTTCAATAAAATGTTAGTGTTTTTATGCACAGTTAAGAGCAAAATTACTAAAACATAAAGAGTTAGGTTCATAATCTTTTAATTTTATCGACTTGTTTTGTCTGACTGGAAGCTCTATGAACATTTCGGAGTCTTCATAATCCTGACATGGAGAGGGGTAAAGATTAGGGTGACGGTAAGGAGGCCTTCCAACTTTAAAAACAATTAACAAAGACAAATAACCAAAATACCAGTTTATCAGCTCTTAAAAAGGTGTTCTATTTGTGTAATACAAAAATGCTTTTCAGCTGGTTATTGAGAAGCACAAAGTTTTCAAAAGTAATGTTTTTGTCTAAATTTATATAGAAATAAATTATTCTTATTTAAAACAACATCTTAACCATTGTTCTTTATCTCTATTCCCATTTAGGACTGGGAAAAAGTCAAACATATCTGTTTCTTTCTTTTCTTGAAAGTCTTTTCATTAAAATTAAATGCATTTTTCCTTTCTGAAAACTGAAGTTACAAGAATATATTTCCACATGAAAGCGAATACCAAAAACAGATGAAGATCCATACTTATTTCACACCACCAGACATTCTCTAAAAGTATAACAGGTTTATGAGGATGATTATATTAAAACTGCTCATCCATTAGATCAGATGTACCAGTCTTGGCTGTCGATGGCGTCACCATATCCAGGGGTGTCAACCACAGTGAGCCGAAGCTTCACCCCCCTCTCCTCGATTTCAACAGTGGATGCCTCGATTTGGACTGTCCGCTCAATTTTCTCTGAGGGGGTTAAAGAAAAAAGTAAACAGAAGCACAACACCTGTAAAAATACCGTTAATGTATTTGTACAACGTTAAAAATCTATTTTCTCCCTATATGTGCCAAATACTTCAAAACCAGAGAAGTTGACTTTAAAATAAAGTCTTAAACGTTTTGCAGTTACAAAACTTGGTAATTTTTTTTTCAGTAAAACAAATCCTAATCTAGCTGAGTCATAAGAAGGCCGTCATTTTGAAGGCTGCATGCAGCATTCCAAACGGTCCTCCTCCAATAAAGCTCTGCTGGAGACTTAGCTGCAGACATTTCTTCTTTATTACAGAGTCTGTAAGCGTGTGCCTGTGAATTAGAAAGCGTACCAGCAGCTCCAGGGATGTAGCGCTCAGGGTAGAGATCAGTAAGAAACAGGCTGTTTATGAGTGTTGATTTGCCCAACCCAGACTCTCCTATTTAAAAAAATTGAAGAAAATTCATTGTGTATAAAGAAAAATAAGCAAATAAAATCAACATATGCAGTTAAGAGTGATCACTCACCAACTACCATAAGGGTGAATTCAAAACCTTTCTTCACAGATTTTCTGTGCACTTGGTTTGGAAGGTTTGCAAAACCAACATAACCAGCTGAGTCTGGAAACTGAAAAACATCAAAAAAAAAAACAACATCTCAAATCTGCAACGTGAGACATAAAATTCAGATTATAACAGCAATAAAGACCATAGCAGAACAGATTTATTTTATGAGCTTGTTTTCTTCACCAATTTCAGTGAATAAACTGGTCATTTCTTAAGCTCTAAGTCAGTGCAGATGTAGGTGAGATTGCTGGCGAAGCATATCACTGGAAAATTCCAGCAGCCAATAAAATAAAGTCAAGAAGCACTTGAGTTTAGACAGGATTTCCTTTTTAAATGCTAATACAAACATGTGGGCAAATCATTAGTACCAAAATAAGTCACACTGATCTCATTAGTGAGCTCTCTTCCAAATGTGGAAATTTGAAGCAAAACTAAACAGTTGTGTCATTCATATCCTCACCTTTCCTTTTTCTCCCGACTGCGACATTACTATTTGTCAAGTTACGCCTGCAAGTAAAAAGAAAAGATTAATTAGAGGATGATGTGACATGGTCGAGAGCATCTCATGTACAAAGCTAAAACAGTCTGAAACTGAGATAAAAACCCATTTGATTTAGCTGAACTCCATAGATACACCCGCTGCATCTATGCAGTTAATGGTGTACTATGCACCCCATTAACTCTTCTCACTACATCACTCCAAATGTTTGACAAAGGAACAAAACCAGTGGTTAAATCAGCAACATGATGACTGAGCAGGAAGACTGGACTTCATTTTATCAACAGTGACCTGGCTCCTGTGTTGCAATGTGAACAACATGACAGTGAAGCAATAGTGCCAGAAGGAGATTCAGGATGATCCTGAAACCATTTATTCAGGACTAGGTGCGGTGGAAACCTAATCTGAGTCCAGTCCATTGGTATGCAATGAACCAATCAAGTGCATGAACAATTTGGGAATAAAAGCATTAAATATATAACGTCGTTTCGGGCCACCTTTTGTAAGCACATGAAAGAGGGCAGAGATCCTTGATACTGACAGGGTGGTTTCACCAAGCCTGCAGGGAGAACAATGGATGTTTAACATCTTGGTTCCTGAAACTTTTCCGATATGGGCCAGCTCAGCTGAAGGAGAACATGTCTCACCCTTGACTAGAGTTCAAGGTCAAGGACTACACAGCCACACCAATCATTTAGGGAGGCAAAGACAAGGGGCGTGACCTGGTCAACGCAAAATGGAAAGTGATCGAGACTTCCCCAAGAAATAAGAGCTGATTAAAAGGAAATAACAGGCTTAACATAGAAATATTTATATGTAAACCTGAATTTAAAAATGCAGATCTGCAGATCTCAGACGGTTTGTGAGAAATCAATTAACAGTAAATTGATAAATGAAAACAAGACAGATTTCAGTCTTCTGTTAGCAGCTTTAAAATGCATGACAAACTCGTTTTAATTTTTTGTCAAGATATTAAATGTTGCTAAAAAGCCGATTGTGCCACAATGAAATTGATAAAACCCATTAACAAGCTTCAAATCTTATTGAGCTTTGAGAATGTGTTCTCAATTATGTCATTACCATTATGTTACTTGAAAATGGTCTCAAAATAACACTATTGTTTATTATGATAACTTCGGGGACAATTTATCAACCAGCAAAATTTATTAGGGTGAAGGCCAACTCCTGCAACTTTCTTATAAATCTTATAAAAGCAGCAGCTGAATTGAATAACAAGATTTGAAGAAAAAAAAAACATCCAAAGCAAAATCCAATTTTCAACTTGAAACTCAGAAAATCCAAATTCCAGGTACAACCAGAACAGACAAGCACTTCAACCTACCAAACAGCTTTATAGAAAATTTGAAAAAATTTACTATTTGTGTACTAAAATCTAATACTGAAAGGTCTGGGAAACAGTGGCATACAAAAAAAATTTAAATCCCTTTTGAGTATTTTGCTTTACATGTGAAAGTATTAGACCTCTGGTGACATAGGAGACATTGCCATTACATGATGGCCATCACGTAATCTGCCTTGAATCTTATGACTATCCTTCTAGTAATTCAGTGAGCACCAGATGAGCTAAAGTGTATTATTCCAGCCTTTGAACAAAATGGTGAACACACCAACAGACTGACTCACTGCCCAGGGTAACACCAGCCTAATCATTGGGTTCTAGGCTAAAAACACACCTAATGCAATAATTAATGTGTTTTCTTTTTTAATGGATTTGTGAGCGACCAAAGTGGGCCACACCAGCGCATTCATACACCCCAAAGTGTTGTTCCTCGTCCGGCTCTGTGGGAACCAGCATTAGTCCGGCAGCAGATTAATTAAACTGTTTGAAAACCGCAGCTGTAATCTCACAAAGACAACACTGCAGGACACACACGTAGGAGGCACACTTCAATAAGGCTTTCTTAATAATAGCCATTTAATCGTCTGGACCGCCAAACGTCTTGCACACCAACACACACAGCGACCACTGGGTCGTGCTTGTGAGAGATTGAACTATTGAGAAAAATACCACATCAAAAACAGTGAAATTTAAAACCTGTAAGTTAATTCATTAGCTGACAAAATGCAACAAAATTTCAGAAAAGGTTTAAGGATCCGAATGGAAACGTAACTTCTCCACAAGTAGAGTCTATAACTTATTAGGAAGACAGATCAGTGAGCCGAAATAACAAACATGGCAATAATTCACAATGACCAACCCCAGAACTGGTGAACATTAATAAACAATGACTATGTACATCTCTTCAAAGCTGAATATTATATTCTGATTATTAATCTTATAGTTGAGAGATAATATCAGGTGTAAGATGTTTTTAAAATGTTATACCCTCTGCATTTCTTTGACTTCATCTCTATTCGTTTTCAACATTATGAAATGGCAGAAGAAGACGTCCTTATTGCACAGAAATGAAGTGCTTGGTGGTTTATAAAGTTTAACCACCTCAAAAAGGCATTTCATCCACACAATTTTAATATGAGAGAAAGACTGAGACTCAAAGCATCCACAGTGTCTTGCATGTGAAAAACCAGAATGAGATAGGTAGTATGTTGGTGAGTAATTCAACCTAAAGTCTTAATAAGCTCATAGCTGATTAAATATAATTTGATTACATCCTGTAAGAAAAACTGATTAAAGAAGCGGAGAATATTTCTCCGCTGTGTAACAAGATTATTCAAAACCTCCAAGACAATAACGCTGGCCCACTTTGTAAATATGAATGATGTTTTATTGTTGCATTCACATCACTCAGGAGAACAGGAGGTAACATCCTCTGGTAGTTTTGTAGATGGGTGCGTTGATGCTTGAGTGGGAGATAAAATCACAGGAAAGGGGAAAGGTCAGAGACTAGTCAGGGATCAGAATTCAGAGACGCTATTCGCCGGCAGGATACATTCCTTTGATATCAAATTTATTTGTCCAGCTAAATTGTTTTCTGTAGTAGGAGACAGCTGTGGACTTTAGATTACAGCTCCTCGAGTCAGTCCTTGTGCTTGAAGCGCTAAGCATTCAGTAAGAATGGAAGTGAATTACGCAGGCTATCAGTGGGCCAAAAACACAAGCAAAGATGAATGATAATTCTTCAATAGTGGCCTGCTGCCACATCTAAGCCACATAATACAAATATTTAATGGTTTCCTACTCTTATTCTCTGGTTGTCTGAAAGTGAAATTTATTATTGTGCCACACAATAAATAATAATCAGATAAAGGAATAAGTTTTAGAATATGCCACAAGTGAGCATAATATACATTTTTTAACACAAATGAGTGAAACCAGCCTATTTTATGTCAGACCTGTTCTAAAAGGTCAGAAGCATTCGATTTGTTTTATGATTAAGAAATGCATCAAACATAAAAACTACCAGGCTGTGTTTTTGTCTGTTATTGGATGAGATGGAATAGAAAATGTTGGCAGGTTTTGAGAAATCGTACAGTTAAGAAAATGGTCTACCATCTCTATAAGGAATACATACAAGGACTATTGTTGATAGTTCTGAATTTACTAGTTTTGGTTAATGCAAATATGAAGAAATAAACTGCCTTTCATAAAATTTCTTGGATGTGCAGCTTTACTCTTCATCAAAAAAGACAGACATTTTCAAAGTTCTTATTTACATAAACTCAGGTCTCATTGTTGTCTCAATATTTATTTCTTTGTTATTGCTATTGTTTTATTTTATTTTATGGATCTTAAAAAGTTTTATTGGATTCCGGTCCAACCCTTAGAAGTAGTACTAAAATAAGCATATTACTGCATATTATACTTATTTTGCATAATTTTTATTACTACTTTTATTAGGAAAACCCAGTTTATTTGCATGCAGTTTCCATGGAGAACATTCCACTTTCCAATTATAGAATAATTTACAGTTTTTTCAGGAAATACAGCCAATAAATCTCCCACTCTTTCCGATTTCTCTACTTTTGATATACATAACCATCATTTAACCACAATAGAAAGGCTTCCTGAGGATCTGTGTAGCTAAAAAAAAAAAAGCTTAATCATCCAACCTTTCACTACAAATTTGAACTTTTTAAGTTTGAATATTTAATAAGAAACCACTATATTGCTATATAAATAGGTAACTAAAATAAAATACGGGCGCACATTGCAGTTTGAGATGTACCAAAATTATTGAGCTATAATCTGTCTTGTGTAGTAACTTAAATCCAGAAAAAGACATTTCTATAACTTTGTTCTGTTTTGATAATTATTTAAATTTACTAGGAATGATTTATTGGTAAGACACTACCAATTTCAATATATTTAGAAAGAAGTGAAAGGTTTGTTTTTATGGTAAAAGAGAACTATAAAAATAACTGGTATGGTCAAGTGAAAGCTTTAAAAAATTACTTATTGCAAGCTGGCCTTAAAATCTCTGACTGCTGCATCTTTATTTTTATTTTTTTTAAAGAGTAACCTCTTTGATTGTTCCTCATAGTTTGTCAGAATATGCTTAAGCCTCACCCTTCCCTGTATATGTGAAGAACAAATATCCAATCTAATCAAATCTGCCAACAGTAGACATTTAAAACTGAATCCAACAATTTTTTTAAATAAACGTTTTTAAGAAAAGACAATAAGTGAGTTCAAAACCCTCAAAAACGTAACTTTTCTTTTCTTTAAGACAAAAAAGAATAAGAAGAATGTGTTTGGACATGTGTAATGTGATGAAGGGGAAAATAAAACAAACTTTAAATCATCTCCAAAAGTCTTAGGGCCTCTTGAGTTTGTAACATTGATTTCCACCACACCCAGTTTGTCAGACATTAAGCTTACCAACTGGGACAAGGTCGCTGTTGTTTTGACCTACACCCTAAGTTGAATACAACGCAACATATAACAACCTTACTCTCTCCTACTTTAATGCTATATTTGTAAACAGATTTTAGGCGTAAAACAGAAAGGAACCTGGCCTAACGTTACATGCCGAACTTTAGCATGCAACAGTTGTTACCGCGACCGGTGTCGTGTTCCCAACTCGGCTTCCACAGCCTCTATTCCACAAGCTCCAAATAAACTGACCTTTTCGGATCAAAACTACTTTTAACGGGCGTGCCGCGTCTTACCTGCACCGTATTCTGAGGTATGGTTAATCAACGGGAGCCTTTACGCTGTTGCTGCTATCCCAGCCCAGGAAGGGGAACCCGGAAACTGCTTCCCTAAGTCCGCCCTCCTCCAACCAACAAGCTGCTGGTCAACGGCTGTCCCCGGGCGCAACTGCCGCCATTACGGCTCAGCAGAGTGGGTGGCTGTGCCGTTCATGTTCTGACATATGAGAGCCAAAATGGCGGACACCCAACTTTAGCCACTTTAATCGTCTGTTTTTCAACCTTTCTAATCGTTAAAGCCATTTCTGATTAGTTGCAGGTAGCGTACAAATTGTCAGAGTAAAAACATGGGTGTTTTCCCATGTATAACATCGATGGGTTACCATGGAAAATAAATTCCCACTTGAAATTAAAATTGGGCATGTAGCGCAACACAAGGGTATGGAAGCCCGTTTCTGCCACTCTAATAAAAAAAAAAAACTTTCATTATGAGATAATTATCACTGTATACTGGGATAGTATAGCATCATAATGTGATATAAGGAGGTGTATCACATACCTCATAATGAATGATCTCATCATGTTCAGATACTATCTCATTACTATGAGTTTTTTTCTTTTTCTTTTTAGTCACAGTGGTGGAATCAGGTTTCTACACATTTTTTTGGAAACACCTTTTACACTATTTCTACCATTTTTGTTGATCCAAGTATGTTTCCATGATTTGATTCGTTAGATTTTAAGATTTTTTTTAAGTATTAGTATTCCTTTTCAGAAGGATAGAACAACCTCCCTGTTAAACACTCAAATGGACATCAGAAAAATCAGTAAAGGAGCATTGATGATTCCTGTTGATGGTTTATGTCAGGATTTTTTTTTTAATTAGAAGATCACTGGAATGTATTTGATTTAATAAAATCAGTTCAAAAATAGTTTGAGTCTTTGTCTGGACTGACTTTAGAATCTGTTTATTGGCTAAAACTGTGCATAAACTGAGAATTTGTCTTCAATTTCATGCATTTACAGCTCACATAAATATACAAACTTTAGATTTAAGTAAATGATGGGGATTACTCAAATTTTTTTACATGTATTTATGTTTTGCTATAGCTGACAGCCTTCCCATATCAGCTTTACATTTCAGCTGTTCTCTTCAATTGACCTCAAGTTTTTTTCAGTAGTAAAATTCTGCTTAAAATTTAAAATGTCCACATTTAGTTCTTCTTTTTGTGCAAACAGAATTTTAAATCCCTGAATCTTGCATCAAACCAGATATGAAAATAGTCTTTCTCCAACATGTGTGGCACAGACATGTTAAGCCTCCATATCTGAAAAATCAATAATCCACTGTTTCAAAGCTGCTTAAAAAAACAGCTAAAACTTCCCCACAGCCAGGCTCCCCCTCTTCTTATAAACCCTTCATCCCCTATTCACTGGAAATAACAGTTCAAACGCACAATGCGCTCTGGACCGCTCTATTCAGTCGCTCAACTTCCCCTCATTTTCATTGGTCCCCAGAGGATGCGGCCGCAGCGGATTGGAGGAAAGTTTCTGGTTAGGTTTTCACACCCCCACCTTGCAGATATCCGTGGTCCGGTGATTCTGTGTTTCCAGTTGTTTTCACTTCCACTCACTAACAAAGAGACTCGGGGCAGCTGCTGTATGTGAATGTAGAGACTCCTGCGCAACTAAGGCGTAAAGCTACAAGGAGTGGAATCGGTCAGAGCTTGCAGGAGAAATACGGAGAACTTGATCAACTTTAGAAAGGACAAACAGAAGAAAGAAGAGTGAAAATGGTGTCGGCCGGGCTGGAGATCTTGGGTCTTTCTTTGTGCGTAATTGGCTCGCTCCTGGTCATGGTTGCGTGCGGGCTTCCCATGTGGAAGGTGACGGCGTTCATCGAGGCCAACATCGTGGTGGCGCAGACGATGTGGGACGGCCTGTGGATGTCCTGCGTGGTGCAGAGCACCGGCCAGATGCAGTGCAAGGTGCACGATTCCGTCCTCGCTCTGAGCCACGACCTGCAGGCGGCCAGAGCGCTCACCATCATCTCCTCCGTGATGGGAGTGCTGGGTCTCATGGTGGTGATCGCGGGGGCGCAGTGCACCAACTGCATCCGCACAGAGTACGTGAAAGCCCGGGTGGTGAACGCCGGTGGGATCATCTACATCATCAGCGGCCTGTTTGTGCTGGTTCCTCTTTGCTGGATGGCCAACAACATCATATCGGACTTCTACAATCCGCAGGTGCCTTCATCCAAGAAGAGGGAAATCGGCGCTGCGCTCTACATCGGCTGGGCGGCCGCGGCGCTGCTGCTGATCGGGGGAACGCTTCTTTGCTGCTCCTGTCCCTCCAGTGGAAACTCGGGATACTCTGTAAAATATGCGCCGACCAAGAGAGCCTCGCAGAACGGGGACTACGACAAGAGGAATTATGTGTAGCTGCTTGCAGACGGTGCGTAAAAGTGACTTGCAGCTTTGAAAAGCTTTTTTTTTTTTTTTTTTTTTACGGACCTTGTTTTTGCACCTCCAACTTTTTTTATGTATAAATTTGAACTTTGAAATCAGCGGAAGCCTCTCTGGTCCTGCAATATTCTCGGGCCGTATTTTTACACGCATTTATGTCGACTGGAAATCTTTTTTTTCCCAAGACTATTGGCAATATACTGAGCACCTACCGGAACATTGACGGAAAAAATTTAAAAAAATGAACGTTTGTTTTACTTTTTTATTTATTTTTTCTTCAATGTCCCTCTAGAGGCTCCATAACTGTAAGAGGTAGCACACGACAAAAAGGAGTATCTTTCTAAGGTACCTGCTTTTGTAAATTGTCAAAATCTTTAGATTTGGATTTATTTGTTATTTTTTCTTATTTGATTAACTGTATGCACCGAAAATGTAACGTGCTCTTTGTCCTCAATATGCATTGTCAGCACAAAGCTGTACAGTAGAATGGCTGCACACTCCCACAGTGGAAAACTGTTTTCTTTGGCGGCAGTAGCATTTTGCCACCAGAAACCAGCAATAAGAGCAAAAATAAACCGGTAATTTGACTTTAGTTTTAAAATACAAGATATAAAATTCTAATACAAACTTTTCTCTTTCTCTCTCTCTCTCTTTCTCTCTCTCTCTTTTTTCTCCTTTTTATGGTTCAGAAATGATACGTGATTTTTTAGCAGATCTTAAATGTCAAAACACAGGCAAACAGAAAACTGAGCCCTTTTGTCACATTTCTACACTAGCGAACGATGATCCTTTACCCCGTGACGTCACTATTTGTATGGAGTTCCAGAAGGGTGATTGTTTTCACCATCTAAGGCAAAATAAAAATCTACATCAACTACATACCCTCCTACAAGTTCAGCAAAATATGTTTATCAAATATGTTTTGTGATGAAAAACCAAACAACTCAGTGTCCAGCAGAAGTAACAGCGCCCCCTACTGTCACAGTATGCAGTAATCGTAGAATTTATTTGAAACATCAATGTAGCTTTTCCATTATTTTCCTTGCAAAGGGTTTTGTTTTTAATATTTTAGACACAAAAAGAGAATCAAACCATCTCACAACAAGAACAATTCAATTACATCTTTAAATGCTTTACCGTAACATTAAAATCGAATAACCACTCGCTGTTTAGTTTTTGGTTAATGTTTCATCACTTTTTTCTAATTAGAACATCAATGAGCAAAATCTGAATGCACCATGATCCAAGTCCGACGACTTGGAATCAGTGTCCAATAAGGAAAAAGACTTAAGAAGAAAATCTCACAAGTCCTTTTGAATCGTAGAATGTTTTTGCTGTGTTGGGGAATCATGTGGGAGTCCATTCTTTGTCTTCTCTGAGCACCTGCTAAGTTTTTCGCCCGATGAAAGCATCTTTTTCTTACATAACTTCCAGGTTTTTGTTACTATTTTTGACGTCTGATGTTATGTTTCATTTTCCATGTGTATGAAGATGCAATACTGTTTCATTTTATTATGATTAAACAGAATATATTGTCTGAAATCTAGTTTTAGAGTGTGTTATTAAAAACAAACCACAGCAGAGACGTGGTGAAGGGGGTGACGGGGGCCTCTTCGGGTTGGTCATGCTGTTCCCACCGCCGATCCATAACACAACCCCCATGATGGGAGAAAGTACTTTGGCTATCCAAAGAAATCCAGATGACAATGTCCATTCAGGCAGAGTGGGGCTCTGCTGTTCAGCCCCCCCGCCTCCCAACGACCCCCAGTTTGAGACCAACACCGCCCCTCCTCAGGCCAGTCAGTGAAAGGCCTCAGCATTCATCCACCAGCCATCAGTCTAATCTCAATCCCACAGAATAAGACACAATCTCTGGAGCTAGACTTACAAGTCCAATTCACTACAGAAAAATCATTTTATTAATGAAAATTACAGTACGTTAATATATAAATATCAGTGGGTATGAACTGTTATAGTTACTATTACTTAATAATTTTCAAGTATTTGAATTAGGCTGAAACGATTAATTGGATAAGTTGTGACTTAACTGATTATTTAAATTATTTTCAACTAATTTAGTAATTAATCATTAACTGACTCAAAAAAAGGCATTTGTTGGAAAATAACATATTTATAGCAGCAATTAAGCCAAAACTGTAAAAAAGAAATAACATTTTTTGCATTTAATACAGAAACACGTCTGTATGTAAATATGTTTTATCCAAAACTCATCAAATGTTAAAGTTTTAGCTTCAGCTGGGTCAGATTTACTACAGGAATGTTATGCTATTACATTACAGGCAATAAAAATATTTGCTGTCTTTGTTTTAAAAAACTTAATTAAATTGTTTATTAGCATCTTTTAATGCATTTCTAAAAAAAAAAAAAAGAAAAGAAAAGAGAAAAGCCTCTAATACAGCACAGAGTGCAATAGTAACTAGTTACATTTAATCAATTACATTTACTTGAGTAACTTTTTTGAAAAACATGCACGTTGAGGAGTATTTTAAATACTTTTTATTTTTACTTGAGTAATTTTATTATGAAGTATCGCTCCACTGAATGAAAAACAAACATGTTTCAATCAAAAGTCCATCAGACGCAGAAACACACCTGCAGTTTCTGTTAAAGTTTCATTACTTTTTTAGTGAAAGAAACATATTTGGGGGGAAAAAATACTGTACTATTTTTTGTTATGAATTATTGCCATTCTGATCCTTAAAATAGAAAATTTTTCACTTAACTTTACATTTTAACTCATATGATGATGTAATTTTAAAATATTAAATGATTGATAATTTGATCAATTACTCAGTACTTGACTAAATTTTTCACCAAATACTTTGTTGCTCTTACTTGAGTAAAAATATGCTGAAGTCGTGCTACTCTTCCCAGATTATAATTTCTCTGTCCTCTGCTCGCCTCCTCTAACAGGTTCTGGATTGGTTCTGAAATATGGGTCACAGGGTTAGAGCGCCACTTCAAGTTGTGGCAACAGCAGAGGAGAAAACTAAGAATTTCACCCAGTGAGTAACAACATTGTGATTCAAAACTGTGACTGGATTATAAGAGATTATCCATACTTGTTTTGCCTGGTGATTTAAGAATCTTAGCAAGTCATATGCCCAAGTTGAAAACATAAAGCCTGCATACAGTCAGGAGAGTCTCAAGCATTCAGCAGCTGTTTCTGAACTCGACAAGGGAATATTTATTTATAAAATAAAACTTTGGGTTTACAACAAAGTGCGGCCCGGCGGCTATTTGTGGCCTTTGGACCTGCAATTTAAGAAAGATCCAAATTTGGCCTCTCCGGCACAGATGTTTGATTATTGGTAAAATTATTACTGACATAACTTTCTCACAATGGAAAATGATAAATACAACACAAAATATAAGTTTTTTTATAACCTATCTTTCATACTAAGTATAGCCAACTTTGCTGCACTGAAATCAGTTCTTATTTAATTTCATAAATTTGGCTAAATATAGCAAGTGTTTTGAAAGAAAGTGATGCAAACAAAGAATTAATTTGTTCAGTCAAGCCCAAAAGAATTTGATAACTGCATTTGTTTTATTTGGCGTATAAAATCCTTTTTACAGTTTGGATTTGGTCAGTAGTTCGCGAGATAATGATTTATTGCTCTTCTTCATGTGTGTAACTTCATTCCTTATGAAATGGAAACACCACAATAGTGAAATTGTGTTTTTTGACATCAGCAGAATACAGACAAAGATTTGCTCACATTTATAATGGAAACACATCTCGTGAAGAACAGTAATGACCCTATACTAAAACATTTCTAAGTTTAAAAACAAAGAGAATTGAAACTGCCACATGCTGACAGCAACACTAACAGAGCATTTCAGATGGAAGTGGTGTTTTTGTCAAAGAAGTTCTGCTTAGTTTGTTCAATTTAACAAAAGAATGACTGAATTAGAGGAAAAGTAGTTTTGAAATGTCCCTGCTGGCATGTAGAGCAACTTGACTGAAAACCACACAAAGAGCCATGAATAATGTCCTCATAATTTTATAGTATATTCTGACAACCTCTACAATATTACCTCATATGGCATTTTCAGCAATGTCTTGATTTAAGGGTGTATAAACTTATCCAACCCAATAATTGCTCCATTGCTTAGTTTTCCATGTAGTTTCTCTCAGTCATAACTCTGTGTGTTCACTAATGTTTCAATTGTTGATTTTTTTGTTTTTATGGCATTTCAACTGGCTTGTTACTGAAATGTGCAATTCAAATAAAAATTTATTTCATTTTGATTTAATATTTTCCAACAAACCTCTGAGACCTTCAAAGAGTCGCCAGATTTACACTGAGAATGAACTGAACAATGTTTACAGAATAGACAGTTAATGGCTCTGAATTTTAATTAGGGGTCTAAATGGCAAATTATTTAAATGTTTTTAATATAAAAACATAAATTCCTAATCCAAACTGTGACTTCCTGGTTAAATAAATGTTAAATGGTGAATTTGGTGTATTTTCCAGGCAAATATGGCACAATCAAATAACTTGTTTCCTTGAGTTGTTATAAAAATTTCATAAATATCAAACATAACTATGCAGAAAAACAGGATCTTCACGGATGACCATTCATCCATAGGTAAGATAAATTATTTTAACAAATTACTTAAGAGTTTGTCTCCATACATTTTTCTAACTGTGCTAAATCATAAAAGTCTATTTTTTTTCTGGCTCATGTATGACAACAGCCTGGTTTGATGATAAACTACAGAAAGATGATCTCATTTAGTCGAGCGTGATAGGAGTGCAAACTACCTCCTCCTTCATCTCTGCTTTGTTTTTGTTGTAAATTCCTCCTCATCTGTTTCCAAGAAGAAAAACCCAAACAGCATCTCTGGCCCTATGGAGGTTAATTGCTGAAACAAAGAACAGGGTTGATTGGAAAACTGACCACAGATATGTTAAAATAACTAACACTAAAGAATAGTGGACACAAAAATGATTAAACTAGAGTAACTAAGAATAACTATAAAAGAGAAATAAACCTAACAATGGCTGAACTGAAGGGAAGCAGGAACAAGACAGATCTAACCAAGACAAGAAATACAAAATAATAATGAAACTGGAATCAAATCAAACAAATTAAAACTCAACAACCCAGAATCCTGACACCAACAAAAATGCATTGTGGTGCTCAGCCGCTCAGCGATTTATAAACTAACAGCATTTTAAAGTCTATTCTCTGAGCTACAGAGAGCAGAAGTCAGGATTGTACAACTGGTGTGATGTGCTCTATCTTCCTGGTGTCAGTCAGAACTCCAGCAGCATCTGCAACTGGAGGATTTGTTTTAAAATCAATGTTGCGACTAAAGATAAAATATGGAAGAGTTAAAAAACCCTGGATGAGTTTGTGAGATGAGACTTTCACACGTCCTGCCCGGAGACAGTGAGTGTCGTCGACCGGTTGGTGTGACTTCCACCTGCTCAGCCTCTTCTTCCCCTCAGCCATCAATCACTTCGCTCTTCGTCCTCCGTCAGCAGCACCCCCGCTCCCGCTCCCCCAGGCTCCGGTGAAGTGAGGCCAGCGCCCTTTACGCCTCCCTTCATCCGAGGAATGTGGCACATAACAACACCGACACACACACACACACACACACTGATGAAACGTCTCCCAGGGGAGGATCACACAGTCGCTTTTTAAAGCGTTCACACTCAAACAGATGTGTTGCCTCAACAGAGCTGAGCTGCTCAGGGAAATGTTGATGGTGATAAGGGGCAGATCCTGCGCTTTGGACAGGCGTGACCCGGTTCATTAAAAATATGTAACATGAAATGTTTTCGCCACAGTTTCATTAAAAGGTCTTACTTTGGTTTCTTTATGTGTTCCTAACACACAAAGAACAGAATTGAGGTTCCAGAAAACTGCAAAACAGCTGAAACACTGAATTCCTTCAACTCTATACTAAAACCCCACCTGTTTAGATTTGTTTATTAACCATAATGAATGAAACATTGACCAACATACTTATTGATGATGGCACTTATGATGGCAACTGACTATAAAATAGTCAGTTGCACTGACTGCATATCATACAGTCACCAACTGACTGCCTGATGTTTTTATGACTTCTTATTTTTGAATCAACAGGCCTGATTTATTGTGAACTGTTTTCTTCCACTCAGCTGTCCAGAGATTTTTTTTAAATAATGTAAAACAAAATGGCTGATCTAAATTGTTTAACTTAGTTTAACTTATTATTGATTTCTGAAGTACATAAAAGACACTGTTGCACAAATCTATCTCTTACTTGAAAGCAAAAATGTATAATGATCTTCAGGGTTTTATTATTTTTATCAGGTGTTTTTCTGATAATTCAAGAGAAATTGTATTTCTATTAATATAAGACTTAAAAGGGGCAGATCCTGCGCTTTGGACAGGTGTGACCTGTCTACCTGATGCAAACTGACATTTCCAGTAACAAAACCATACATTTATTTTTAATTTTTGTTTCTGCCACAGTTTTTCTTCCACTCAACCTTCTAGAGGTTGTTTTTAACAAA